ACAGGACATAGGGTTGGCAGGACCCCCGGCAGAAGATTAGTCAGCGGGACCCCCAACGGGACAGGACATGGAGTTGGCAGGACCCCCGGCAGGAGAGTAGTCGGCGGGACCTCCAACGGAACAGGACATAGGTCTGGCAGGACCCCCAGCGGAACCTCCAATGGCATGGGACATAGAGTTGACAGGACCCCCGGTAGAAGAGCAGTCGGCGGGACCCCCAACGGGACAGGACATGGAGTTGGCAGGACCCCCAGCGGAACCTCCAACGGCACTTGACTAGGGACTGGAGTGAGGACTCGAGAGAGGGCTTGAGAGGGAACTCGAGAGGAAACTTGAGAGTTGACTTGAGAGGTGACTTGAGAAGGATCTCGAGAGGGAACTTGAACGGAGACTCGAGAGGAGACTTGAGAGGGAACTCGAGCTGTGACTTGAGAGGGAACTTGAGAGGTGACTCGAGAGGAAACTCGAGAGAGGGCTTGAGAGGGAACTCGAGAAGTGACTTGAGAGGTCACTCGAGAGGAGACTGGAAAGAGACTTGAGAGGGAACTCGAGAGGGGACTCGAGAGGGGACTCGAGAGGGAACTCGAGAGGTAACTCGAGAGGGAACTGGAGAGGAGACTTGAGAGATGACTCGAGAGGGAACTCGAGAGTGGACTCGAGAGGAGACTCGAGAGATGACTTGAGAGGGAACTCGAGAGATGACTTCAGAGTGAACTCGGGAGGGGACTTGAGAGGGAACTCGAGAGGTGACCTGAGAGGGAACTCGAGAGGGGACTCGAGAGGAGTCTTGAGAGGGAACTGGAGAGGAGACTTGAGAGATGACTCGAGAGGGAACTCGAGAGGGGACTTGAGAGATGACTTGAGAGGGAACTCGAGAGGAGACTTGAGAGAGACTTGAGAGGGGACTTGAGAGGGGACTTGAGAGAGGACTTCGGAAGGGTCTTGAGAAGGGTCTTGAGTCAGTCGGCACGCCGACAGGACACAGGGAGCTGGCGTCAGCTGGAGAGCCAACAGGACACGAGGTGCTGGAGTCGGCCGGTACGCCGACAGGACTCGAGGAGCTGGCGTCGGCTGAACAGCCAACAGGAGACGAGGTGCTGGAGTCGGCCGGTACGCCGAAAGGACTCGGGGAGCTGGCGTTGGCCATTAAGCCAGTCCTGGAGCCAAAACTGGAGTCGGGACCATGGCTACTGGGGCCGGTACTGAAGCCGGGACCATGGCTACTGGGGCCGGTACTGAAGCCGGAACCATGGCTGCTAGGGCCGGAACCAGGGCCGGAAGCATGGCTGCTGGGACCGGTTCTGGAGCAAACACTGGGTGAGAAGCAGGGGCTGACGCCAGACGGACCACACCGATGCGTGTGGTATCAAAAAGGGAATTGGGAGACCTGGGTCTATCAGGATTGGGAAAACAAACCGTGAGGTAATACAAACGCCAGGCAGGTAAGAATTTAACCAAATCTTGATTCTTCATCGTAAGCTTGCATGCATCTGCCAGAGCAGCCTCTCGCTGCTGAACCCTGACCGCTCCCATCCATCGATGAGCGCAGGCAGACAAAGAAAAAGGTATAATCCAATAGTTCCTGCTCAAACGGATCTGCTGGCGGTGTGTGTAGGAAGCAGGACCCAAATGCAGATTAAAGTGACAAAAATAACTCCTTTATTTCAAGGCTAAACTATTCACAAAGACTGAACAGAACACTCACCGCAGACCAAGTCATTACACAAGACGAACCGACAAAGACGGACAGAAAAACCAGAACTTAAATACACACAAGACTAATCATACAAACAAGACACAGGTGAGGAGGGAGGAGAAAACACAGGGACACCAGGTGAACACAATCAGGTAAATTAGACACACCAGGGAAACTAACGACAGGGAACCACAGACAGATCTAAACAAGACAAAACACAACGCAGACAGAAAACCAAAGACAGATCTAGACAAGACAAAACACAACACAGACAGATCGTGACAATAAGCGCATTTTTAAAACATAGTCATTGTCCATGCCGGTTTCAGTTGGATTATTTGTCAGATCGGTCTCCTCCATTTTGTAGATTATTTACGACTTTTGAATCCACATAAACACATCGGCAAAATCCGGCTTACTTTGAGCATGTGTTTTAAGTTTAATCCCTTTGTGAATTGTTTCCACTTCTGCGCCATCCTTTAATTTCTTCATACAGCGGGAATCTAAATTAATTAATCCTGAGTCCAATAACCATCAAAGTCACTCCTATAGTGCTCCTTAATTACGCTTTCATCCTCCTTTAACAAAATACTTCACATTCATCTAGTTTGTGACAGTAGTTGTAGCATCTTTGAGACTTTTAAACTTTAATTACTGCTGTTGCGGACCCCCCCCTTGTGTGTGTGTGTGTGTGTGTGTGTGTGTGGGGGGGGGGAGCAACTTCCAACAGGAGTCATTTGGGGGGGCTCTTGGGAAAAAAGGTTGGGAACCACTGCCCTAAACCATAACCCTCTTCTCAGCAGCAACACAACGGCTGATACCTATGAGGCTGAAAACAGAAAACACTTTGCATCAGCGGATCATTTCACCAACACCTGAGATCAGTGTGTCTGTCTCTGTACTTTCTGAGACGCGACATAGATTTATTTTTGTTTCACTCCTCATTTGGTATCATTTATTTTGAGTCAAAGCAAACATGCTGACAAACAATATAACCACTAGCGTGCTGCAAGTGAACACATGCTGACAAACCATTGCAATAACAGGTAAATAAATCAATAAAACAAGTACACAGCTGGTAACCAGTGCACCAGCAGGCTGTCTGCAGTCACACAGCCATTCTTACCTAATAACACTCCAGGGTACCTGCCTGAGTAACTTGGGGCCCCGTCAGAAACCTCCTCCTTAGTTTGGCTCACACTGTTGCTGGTGAATGCCCAATTCACCTGCTACTGCTAAGGTGGACTGTGCTGATGCATTCACTTCCCACAGGGCTCAGTCCGCCTCCCACAACTCCTCAGCATATTAAGGCATTTTTCTTCCATATTCCTTATTAGCCACACGCTCCTATGCACACTCCAGCTATATAAATACCATACAATCTGCTGAACCTTTGCCCAGAAGCCTGCTATGTGAAATCAAGTAAATAAATGAAACTTACCAGGGTAGAGCCAGCTTGCTGACTAGGCTGTCTTTGTAATGTAATGTACCCCAAAGAGTGCAGCTCAGCTGTGCTGTAAGTTTGTGTAGTTTATAAGAGCAGGAATTTCTGCTGTTAAATACTAAATGTGTTCATGGAGGCAGTAGCCTAATGTATAGTTTAAAAAAACAAGTTTGGCCGATGTTCAATAACAAACTTTCTGGTGTTTTGTCTTTATCCCTGTTACTTCTCAATCGCTTCTAATCAGGAGTTTTACCTTAAAGCCCCTTAAAACCATTTTAGCAAAAATTAAAGAAACATTAAGCAAAAGAAACAATAAATAATCCTTAGTTATGATGTATGTTTTTTGTATCTGTGGCATGGCATCATCTTTACAATCCATTTAGAAGAGAACAGACACAGAGTGAATTAAACAAGATTGCTTGGCAGAATAATATGTCTTCATAAAGGACCAGGTCACTCACATTAAGAAGCTAATTGAGAAAAACTATGTTGTGAATATTGTTTCCATACCCAGTTTTGCACAACTTATTTGATCCTATGGATACACTTTGAAAAATCCCACCCCCAAAATAACCCTCCCATTTTTTGCAAAAAGAAACTCACGTGCCATCCCACTGACACGCAGTTGATGATCCATTATTTCAAATGATAACTCATTATTTAATTGCATTTATGGCCTTGCTGCTTAAGCTGTAACAACACTGTAATTCTAATAATTTTACATTTGCTTTAGGAGAGGATAATCTGATAGGAGTTTAACAGTAATGTAACACTTTGGTAATTTAATTAATGTTACATTCATTAGTGCCCCACAGATCCCAAAGTATTTGACAGGATTAGAGAGTTTCCAGATACCTGTGGAAATAATTGTGTTGTATTCCTCTAATATTGATCATAAAAAACAACTGTAATATGATCCTTTTTTGAGGCTTACCTTTACCAAAACGCCCAACCAAGGGCAGGCTAACATCAATGCATCCTAGTCATACATGTTTTTTTTACTACTTTAAAGGAATATCATTGTTATGTTAGTGCAGCTCTGATCTTCAAATGCTCAAAGACTTCCATACAAATGAAAACATTTTTTATTAGAGATCACTGTTATGCACAACCTCACTTCAGTTGGCAGAGCATGCAGCCATTAAAGCTTGAATGTTACTGTTGTGCTGAACCACTTTGAAGCTGCTAAGGGGCCATTGTTGCTCATAACTGCCTCAATGCTGCACTTTCTGTATGGAGCTATACTTTATTGCACGGGGTTGCTTTTAATTTTAAATGAACTTGTCAACACCATTGTGCTGCTTAATTACTACAAGTTATTATGGATTAACAAACAGCTCTGGGTGCAGGCCGATCTCTAATTACTTCAGTTAATAAAAGCTCTTATTATTTATGGTGAATGTTGTGTTTAGACATCCAAGATTCTCCATGAGGAACATTAGTCAGTTGTTCTAGTTAATATAAAGCATTATTACTACCAAGACATACACTTTACCACTTAAAAAAACCACATAAAGCACTCCTCTAGTGTGTGCTTATGTTCACTGTGTGTCTCCATAGAAAGGCCAGCAAGTGTGCCTGGAAGATAAGGGTTGACCTCACAGGACCAGTACTGACGTGAAAGAGGTCTGTCAAAGAGCCAACCATGTGGAGAAGAAAGCCACTAGTATTTCTAGGTCACGACCATGTGAGTGTGCTTCAAACTGCTTCAGCTGGACTGAATGATTTATTGCTCAGTCAAGAGTCAAGAACAGAGAGAGCAGGGTAGCAAGAAAAATACAATATTGAAGGAAATGAAGAAAATAGAAGAAGTGAAGATACAGATGAACCAAATGAATTCATATACTATGACATCTTTCAAAAAAGTTATAATGTTCTTTGCAGAAACAGGATACAAATTAAATTAAAGCTGCAAGCAGCGTTGAGCGGGTCTTCGACATTCCGCAGGCTGTTGTCCGCACGTCGACGTGTGTGTCTAGGTGTCTCGAGGACTCGGCCGTTGGCAAACGTGGGAAATTTCAGGCCGATCGGACAATGTGTTTGAGTTACATTAGTAAGAAAAAACATTGTATTTGATGGCGGGTGATCTGTCGCCATGGCAACGGCATTTGATGACACCCCATAATATGCTTAGTTGTGTTGAGTGCTGCATCGTTACCAAACCTATGAAGTTTTATGCCGTTTGGAGCATGTT